GAATGTACTCACACAAAGAACCAGTGAGTGAAAAGACTGACACTGTGAAAAATCTGGAAATGTCCTGATGAAGAGTGTGTATATCATGTCCCTTTATGTCAACTCCTACTTGGTAGCAGACCAAGTATCTCCTCAGCATGACCACATTTTCACCAACAGATTTTACAGTGACAAAGCTCAGACCCTGGTGATGCATTGCACCCAATATGACTCTCAGAGGTGCCTTTTAACAGACTTTTAATAGCAGGCGAGCCAGTCACTGAACAGAAGCTGCCAGCTTTGACTGGCACCTGCCTCTGCCGGGTGTTAGGGGAAAGCGTGTGTGCGGCAGGCCAGATTTCCTCTGGGCCAGCCAGGAGGGTACATGTGCTGATGGCAGCTGAACAAAGGCTGATCTCCTGTCATGTTGAGTGGGCCATTTTAGAACGGTCAACAGGTGAAGCACCCTGCAGATTTCCAACACAGCTCTACTTCTGATTAACTCACAAGCTACATTTACAATAATGCCAATACTTTATTCAAATGGATGCGTTGTCAAAAAAAACACATACCAACCGTTCGCTGCTTCTTCAACACTCAATTAAACCCCCCCCCCCTTCTAACCTTTGGCAACCAGGTTCGACTGGAGAAGCTACGTTACCATACCTCAGCACAATCAATAGAAGAAAATGCAATGCAAGGAAAAAATCATAAACTTATTGCTGCAAATGTAAGGGAGCACACATTCCATATCATGCGATATCGATAATTATCACAATAAATGTCAAATCATTGTTTTTTGAGGTTAAAGGTTGATATTTGCTCCCGAGCGAAAGATGGAGATATCCGAAGGTTAATTGTGTAGTTAAACTTTTCTTATTGTCAAAACATGACAAACAGTGGATCACTTCACAAATCTGAGAGACAAATATGATTAGTAAATCTTTTTTTAGTCCCCTTTCCCGTAATTCAAATGAATTGAATCAAACATTTATTGACGATATATTGAACATTTGTTATATTGTTATTGAGGAAAATTCTATTGCGATAATTGTAATTGTTTTATTGCCCAGCCCCCAACTGTATGGTGTGCATGTGTTAGCACAGAGTCACGAGTGTGTTTCACTATTTTATCAGCAGACAAAAGCAGAATAAGTAATATTTAGGTGGCAGTAGGCTGTAAGAGAGATAAATCACTATTTACCAACACTGACTAGTTTCTTGACTCCCCGCTGTTGCAGATGCAAACACGTGTCAGCTGACTTTGGCTCCTCACCTCTGACCTCAGTTATGCACCATCTCCACACTGTCTCCCTGATTTTATGAATCTCAAGAAGCAGCCGCAGGCTGGGCCTCCACAGAGCATGCAAATGTTTCTGTTGCCATAGTGACAACCTGTGTCCCGGGACTGGGAGCACTAAAAGTCCTGACAAAATTAACTTGGGGTGTTAGTGTAGTGTTTAATCTTGATTTTAACCACTGCGCTAACATTTTAAGGAGTATTCACCACGGCCCACACGTGTGCCCACATAGTGTGCATAAACAAATTAAGGACACAAGGATCTGGACTTAAAAATATTAGCAGACTGAACGTAATGTAAATACCACACAAAATATAATACCTCACTTGTCCTTGCTGGCATGTACGACATTGAAATGTTAATGAGAAATGCGTGTGATCACTTGAGATCAGCATACATTTTATATCTTAACATCAGGTCAGAAGGGTACATTCCCTTCATGTCTTAAGGTCAACACTTTCAGTGGTGGCCCCTCGTGAAAGCCTTTCCTGGGACAAAATTTGGAATAAATCTGTATAAAACTAGAGGTCAGCTTTAATGGAAAACTACTACTTCAATAGGCGGTACGAGATTCCTTTAACCCCAGACATTTGGGTTTACACACACACACACACACACACACACACACACACACACACACACACACTTTATGCAGAACCGTACATGCATACTTCTCTCCCAACTTTCTATTCAACCAAGCACTGTGCCTACTGATTTCGCCGATTAGCGTCATCAACTCACCCCGTTTGGTTTGAATAAAAACCTCTGTGCCCTTCTGCAGGACTTCACTACAAATTAGGTTTTGACATTTCTAAAGGCAGCTTCCCTTGTCGGCAAGATTAGACCATTCCTCTCAGTCTTGCTGACAAGTCAGGAACATTTGCCAAAAGACAGTCCCTCCGTGACAACGGACGCTTGCCAGACCACATTAAATACCACATACTATCCATGGTGTCTGGAATCTTAGCAGTGGGTGCGGGTGCCAAGGGCTAGGGTCGCTGTGCATTGAGCTTGGTGGGGTGGGACGGTTATCCACAAAGTGCTTCCCTATAAGGTCATCCCTTTCCAACACAATAGGAGCAGATCACAGATCCTCCCCTCTATACTCCCCCCCCACCACATGAGGCCCGTCACTACCCGACTCCACAGCTTCATAGGCAGCAGAGAACAAACCCACCGAGTTCTGCTACTCTGAGAAAAGGCCAACATCCAAATCTGCAAGCCCTCAACATCAAACTGTAAACTGGCAGCATTCAGTGTGTGCTGTTATGACAATAACTAAAATCTTTTGGATGGATCTAGTGAACTCTCCATGTTATCAGCTAATGTCATTTATTAGGAGTTAGTTAAGTGGGATTTGGCGTACTTTCCCACCTTAAAACAAATGCTTACTTATGCTTAATTATTACTGATCATTTCCATTCGATTATTTTAGAATATAAGCTATTCAGACAAAATCACTGCTGCGACTGTCAGTGAGATCATTTCAGAACAAGTCAAGGGTTAGTTTTGATGTGCCACTGCATACATTTGGCTGAGCCACATTGTTGTTCACGCATCTTTTATCAGCCCGACAACAACAGTCAAAGGATTAAACAGGACAGCCGACAGCAGCCCTTTGTGCTTAAACCGCTTCAAGATCAGAGTCGAAAACACCAAATAACAGAGACAAACCAAGCATAAAACAGTCTAGTTTAGATAAAAGTCTGACAAATGTATTTCCATGACATTTAAACAAATTTCAGTGAGCATGCGACTAAGAGGCTGATGAGTGATGAGGTGTGAGTAGGAGGCTGCGTTCAAACCCACAGGAGCGCCCTGACAGAGAACAGCACAGATTGGCTGCAGGCTATTCTTCTCACGGCTGAGGCAGCCACAGAGGGCTTGTCTCAGTGTCCTCTACCTCGGCTCAACAACCAGCCGGCCATCTGCGTCATCACACTCCTCTGCATGGCAGGGGTCACTTTGCCGCCTCAGGAAAATATTCAGAAAAACAGGGAGCCTGACAGGAACCACTGTAGGAGGTGTCTGAAGGATTTAGGTAGTAAGTTGAGCTTTTAACCACAGGATAATGATTCAGTTTTGCAGCCTCAAGCTGCTGACAGCAAAGCCTACAGCTACCTTCATTAAGAGTTTTCCCATAACTAGGTCTCTTAATATGCACGAGGCGAGTGCATCTGACTCACAAGTTTCTTTAATCCTGAACCAAACAATTACGCTTTCTACATCCTGCTTCACCCGCAACGCATAATCCAAATGTCATGATTAGCACTGTCAACCAAAATCATATATATAGACCATATAACACTAGAAACAAGATACATTTTAATTCACAGCTTACTCCTTCTCCATTTGCCCTTGTCAAGGTTACTCAGGAGTCCCGCTGAATGCTGTCCCACGTCAGCCACTGTGGCAATGTTCCCTACAGCAGGATTGGGGGGGTATATGCACGGGTGGGACCAGACACCTGTCATCTTTACGACTCTATAAATACAGTATTCCATAATCTAACTGTCCCATGACAGCTAAAAATAAAACCTACCACTATGCACAAAAAAACAACGCATCACTTAAGTGGTTTAGGGTTAAACAGAGTATCGAGATAATGCAAGTTGTTCCAAGGACTTCAGCATACATCTGTCTCTGTTCATCCCTCTGCTTTACATCCTGAGGATTTCAGCTGCTGAAATACGCTGACTGCATCTCAGCAGCATGAATCACTCCAGCGCTTAGTTCACATACTGCATGGGGGTGGGGGGGGTGGGGAAACTGTTGAGTTGGGACAAGCTGTGAGGATGCAGTAGCAGCATGTTGTTTGAGTAAGCTCAAACTTGTGTGTGTGAGGAGACACACACACACACACACACGCACAAAGGGTCAGTTGGGCCTTAATAGCATTTGCGCCCATCCCTTTGAGACAATGGGTTAATAAGAACATCTCAAAATACATCACTCCTGCAGGGTGAGTCACCTCTGCAGTGGCACATGGTGATGAGGGAGGTTTTAACTCAAGCATGTGCTAAATTTGATCCATGACCATACCTGTACTCATTTGATCTGTCCACTGTAGGCTTTACCTGAGGCAGAGCCAAAGAGCAGCGAAGAATTATCATTAAAACACCACATCTCTCATTTGATCTCCGAAAAACCAAAACAAACATGCATAACATACAAACAGCATAAAAACCATTTCAGTCTTAATGGAAGCTGCAGTGGCATTTTTCTGTGAATTTCAAGATTCATGTGACATCTAGATGTTTCCTTTGCTTGAGAGAAGTTTACAAATTAAACAGACAACTAAACCTTTCACACTTCAGTTAGTCTAAGGAACATATACAACAGTATAACAGCAGATTAAAGTTAAACCAGTAATAACAATACCAACCACGCTATGTCCATTTAAATATGCACAGGTCAACCTACCAGCAATCTCTACAATGTCACCAGGCACAATGTCTCTGGCCTTGATCCTCTGCACAGTTTTCCTGTCCTGCCGGTACACTTTCCCCATCTCAGGCTCGTACTCCTTAAGCGCCTCAATGGCATCCTCAGCATTGCGTTCCTGGTGAGGAGAAAATGAGATTCAGTGCCACAGATTTCAGAAACGCTCTAAGATGAACTCAATATCACATAAGCTCATACACCTTAGCTCTGCTGGACTAACAGGTTAGAGACTAGTTGGACTAGTTGGGACATTTAGGTATAGGAAAATGGGAATATAAAATCACATAGATTTCCTGCCTCTTGATGTTTTCCAATTTTCTCCCTCACCAGCATCTTCATCCTCAGAGCAAACTACCCACTCATTTAAAAAAAAAAAAAAAAAAAAAAAAAAACATGAAAAAGCCAGCCTCATACAGTGGATAGAAAAAGTGTACACACCCCTGTTAAAATGCCAGCTTCTTATGATGTAAAATAATGAGATAAAGATAAATCATGTGAATAAAAATAAAAAAGTGTGCACACCCTCTTATAACTGGGGATGTGGCTGTGTTCAGAATTAACCAATCACATTCAAACTCAGGTTAACTAGAAGTCATTACACACCTGCCATCATTTAAAGTGACTCTGATTAATCACAAATAAAGTTCAGCTGTTCTAGGAGGATTTTCCTGATATTTTCTTAGTTGCATCTCTGAGCAAAAGTCATGGTCCGCAGAGAGCTTTCAAGGCATCAGAGAGATCTTGTTGTTGAAAGACATAAGTCAGGAGACGGGTACAAAAGAATTTCCAAAGCATTAGATATACCATGGAACACAGTGAAGACAGTCATCATCAAGTGGGGAAAATATGGCACAACTGTGACTTTACCAAGAACTGGATGTCCCTCCAAAAATGATGAAAAGACTTCCAAGAGGCCTACAGCAACATTAAAGGAACTGCAGGAATTTCTGGCAAGTACTGGCTGTGTGGTACATGTGACAACTATCTCCCGTATTCTTCATATGAATGGGCTATGGGGTAGGGTGGCAAGACGGAAGCCTTTTCTTACAAAGAAAAACATCCAAGCACGGCTGAAGTTTGCAAAAACAAACATCAAGTCCCCCAAAAGCATGTGGGAAAATGTGTTATGGTCTGATGAAACCAAGGTAGAACTGTTTGGCCATAAAAAAACAACAACACTGCACATCACCCAAGGAACAGCATACCCACAGTGAAGCATGGTGGTGGCAGCATCATGCTTTGGGGCTGTTTTTATTCAGCTGGAACCGGGGCCTTAGTCAGGGTGGAGGGAATTATGAACAGTTCCAAATACCAGGCAATTTTGGCACAAAACCTTCAGGCGTCTGTTTGAAAGCTGAAGATGAAGAGGAAGTTCACCTTTCAGCAGCAGACAACGACCCAAAGCACACATCCAAATCCACAAAAGCATGGCTTCACCAGAAGAAGATTAATGTTTTGGAACGGCCCAGCCAGAGCCCAGACCTGAATCCAATTGAACATCTGTGGGGGGGATCTGAAGAGGGCTGTGCACAGGCAATGTCCTCGCAATCTGACAGATTTGGAGCGCTTTTGCAAAGAAGAGTGAAGATGTGCCATGCTAATGGGCTCCTACCCAAAAAGACTGACTGCTGTAATAAAATCAAAAGGTGCTTCAAAGTATTAGTCTAAGGGTGTGCACACTTATGCAACCAGGTTATTTGAGGGTTTTTATTTTTCATTTTTCCCCCCTCAAAGATTTCGGTTTGTTTTTCTATTGAATTGCTCACATTATAGGTCACATTAAAGGTGGAAAGAGTTCTGAGATGATTTATCCTGGTCTCATTATTTTACATAAGAACCTGGCATTGTAACAGGGGTGTGCAGACTTTTTCTATCCACTGTATGTAAAGGGCGTCCAGAAAGACTGTTGGTGACAACAGGAAGCCTTCTTTGATACATGCACGTGTTGACATACAGCGCAAGCGCAGTACAACAAATGTTAAACCTACAAATACAGCAGGCTGCCGTACTGATAGATTTGATTCATGACATTCTACACCATATTCAGCTATGTCTTTAACAACATAACAACACAACAAGAGCTTTGGCACCATCTCTAGATCATGTCTGTTCTCGCTTTCAGATTGACATACTTGGCTGCTGGGTGTGTTAGGTTCACCTGTTACATCTTGTGAAATCCAACTACAAAAGTTTTTTTCTGTTGAAACTGAGTCAGAGAGGTGTTGTCCCAACATTTTGGACGCTGCAGTTCATGATAACGTTGCAATGGATTAGAATAGGTCTGGAAGTTTCTCACCTGCCACACACCGACAATGGCGTTGGCTATAAGAATGAGTAAAATTACAAATGGCTCCACAAAAGCTGTGATTGTTTCTTCTCCCTCCTCAAACCAGGCCAGGACCTGAAAGCAGTACAAAAAAGAAGTCATTATTTATTCAGGACATTTAACAGAACAAGCAGGTGTTCGCTTACTACAATGAGAATAAGAGACAAATCTAGACAGAACAAACAAAGTGGTTCAAAACAGATAAAAATAATCTCTGATAGATGGAGACATGCTGTACAGTCACATATGATACATTTAAATGAACTGCTTAGGATTTTCATCTCGAGAGCTTTTTGACAATTTCATTTAAATAATTTTAGGGTTTAGCGGTTTATCAGTTGCCAGAAGCTCTATACTAAAGACAGTGATTGTTAATAGCTGAGGATGATCTTATACACTTCCTACATAGAACTTCATGTACTGAGAGAAAAGAAAAAAAAAAATCATAAAATTGTACAACTGCATCTTGACACGCTTAGGTTAAAATTTGGAAATAAACGAGCCTCTGTAGCTTTCCTCTACTACTCGCAGCGAATTTCTTCTATTCACTGTGGGCCACTGCTGTTATCCGCCCGTAGATACTACAGCCCAACCTGACCTGTGTAGGAATGCAAGCTTCTTCATTAGCATTTGACTAAAAAATGCAAACATGTCAGCCATCAAGAAGATTGTAGGAACTCCCAAAGATTGCACAAAGATTAACAAAGCTGGGCCTCTAGCATATAGAACCTCTTACTGCTAGGAAAAAAAAGACAGTATTCTTACCTGCACTATCATTTGGCTTGCCCTAAAATTACCCTGTGTCTCACAAGCAATTAGTTAATGTCCCATAATATAATAAAGCAATCAACCTCAGTAAGAGGCTGTAAGTATCTAGCTGTGGTAGATGCCAAAGACATTTTAAATTGCATAACTTAAATGGACAGCATAAGTCTTAATAGCAGTGTCAATACTGAAGCACAGGGCTCAGTGTTCTACTGCATCTCATGTTTGATTTTTTTTGATAGAACTAGACAAAAGCAGACAATTCTCACATCCGAGAAGCTGGAACATGTACCAAAAAAACCAACACACATTTATAGTACTTGACCTCATAAAATGAGTTTATAAAAAAAAAAAAAGGAGTAAACGCTTCACTTTTCTGTCAACACCAAACTGAATCATGCAAACACAACTAATCAAAACTTGTATGAGTTTAGAGATTTAGTTTTGATAAATTACAATAAGTAAACAAATCCTGTACTTGAGTAAAAGTACAGATACCCCTTGCTAAATATGACTCCACTTAAAGTAGAAGTCTTCAATTTCAATTTCTACTAGAGTCAAAGTACTAAAGTACCTGCTTTTAAAAATACTTCAGTATGAAAAGTTAAAAGTACTATTAGTATGGTTATGTTTGTCAGGGGTTGCTGACATGACAAACAGAATTTAAAAATATAGCAGGCAAACGTTCCTTTTTATTAAACAATGGCATTCATTATAAACAGGTTGCCATTTCAATAATAATTCAAGTTACTCAGTTCTAAGTGCGTGTGTGTGTGTATGGTGGATGAAGTATTGCATTGAAAATGTTACTTAAGTAAAAATATGTAAGTAAAAGTACTCAAAGTGTCCTTTGGCTGTTATACTATTATATATTCGATTATTATTATTACTCATGCATTAAAATAAAATCAGGATTTTACTGTTTTAATTGTTAAGGGGAGCTCATTTCTAACTATTTTGTATCGGATTGCAACTACTGATTATTTTCTTTGTGTGTTAATCTGCTGATTATTTTCTCCATTAAATCGATTTTCGAAATTCTGAAAAAAATAAAATGAGAAATGCCACCACGATTACCCAGAGCCCAAAGTGACACCTTCTCAATGCTGCTTTGTCTAATCAACAGTACAAAGCTCTAAATTATTACAAATAAATTAGAAATAATCAGAAGGAAAAGCAGCTAATCTCCACATTAGTGAAGCTGGAACCGTGAAATGTTTTTACATGGAAAAATGTCTTAAACGATCAAAGTTGTTGCCAGTTAATTTCAATGTCAATCTAATAATGGTGTCAGCTGTACTTCTGTAAAATATTGGATAGTTTAATTTATAACTAAACATATTTTATTAAGTCTTCATATGTTTTGTGTGTAAAAATCTTAATTTTTAAAGTAACTAGTAACTAAAGCTGTCAGATTAATGTAGTTAAGTAAAAAGTACAATATCTCCATCAGAGATGTAGTGGGGTAGAAGTAGAAAGTGCCATGAAAAGAAAATACTCTAGTATGTATAAGTACCTTAAATTTGTACTAAATGTAGTTAATTACTGTCCATCACTGGAAACCACAACAGTTAGCCAACAGCTTCCAAACTGGATGCATAATCAACGATGGGAGTGATTAACTCTATGTTGAGGTGGGCATATGCGTTTGTCTGATAAGAGCCCTCCCACTGAGGAGTGACGGTCCAAATTTGGTCTCGAGTGGTGCTCTGTTCCCCTGTCAGACAGCAGCCACTGACACCTCTGTATCACCTGACTGGACAATGCACACTTACATACCAGCTCACACACACACATACACACAGGGGGGGGGGGGGCTCACTTATCAAAATGTTGTTCTGCCATCTTAATCTACTGTGCAGACGATTCAAAGAACGTGGAAAGAGTAAAATGATTCAGGCATCGCACAATGGCAAAAATTAATTCCAGTTTTTGATCCATCTCTGAAGATTTTCAAAACATACCCATTTGGTAGTTTCATACAAACTGTGGTTTTTGCTCACATTTGGAGACAAATATTGCAAAATTTAAAGAAATATATGCTGAGGATACAGTCCATGAACATTTATCTTGTGTAGCACTCAAAGTCGGGGGCCCAAGGGAGAGCAGTCATTACACAGCAGCCAAGCTTAACGACTCAAATGTCTTACTTGGCAAGTGGTGATTGCAACTCAATGCTGCTACTGCTGTTGTCACCATTCCTCAGATGGGTCGCTAGCCTTCTCAGCTGTTTAACTCTTTAATATGGAAGTGTAACCCCAACCGGGTTAAACAAACTGAAGACGTTCACACTTCGGCACCATGCATTGCATAAACTGTTCCCCTGCCATTCCAACACACAGGGCTTTATAATAATCCTGTCTGCTATTTTGACTTCACATTAACACAATGTCTCAGCCCGAGGTGGAAAAAGAAAGCTGTGTGTAGGATGCGCTGACTTGTCTGACTTCCCTTAGCTTTTTAGATTATCTTTCTCATTTACTGGACAGGTTATTGAGTAACAGGGGTGACAGTGGGGATTTAAAAAAAGAGCTGACTTGGACTTACAACATCACAAGAACAGGAGATGGTGCAAAGAAAATGCAGAGATATACTTACAAAAGATATACATGCTGCCAGCAGAAGAATTCGAACAAGTAAATCTTCAAATTGTTCAAGGACAAGCTCCCACAAAGATTTCCCTGCAGAAAGGAGAGTTGGTGAAAAACAAACAAAAAACCAATCCATCACAGAAACGTGTTATCATTAAATGACAGTAACAACATCAGTGACAGTAGTGATTACCTTCCTCTGCTGGTAACTCTGTGTGTGTTAGAGATGTGGCAGTCAATCCGGGGGGTTCACAGGAGATGGACAAAAAAGAAAAGACAAGGAAGGTAAGTGGTGTATAAATACATTAAAAACATTTAGCCAGATGGAGTCTCAGTTACTGTTTCTTGATGGGGAACTGACTCCCACAGCAAGAGGACATCTGCATGTTCAGAGCAAATGAGTGCTTCCTTGAGAGGGCCAAATCTCAGACAAGCACAAGTTGGTGTCAAAACCACCAGCATTTTCCCGGTTTCACTTCACATTTTGATGACTTAGTCAGACATACTGTACAAAAGGGGATGTTGTGTATTGAAAAATTACAATGGTGTAGTGAGGGTGTTGATCTGCTTGACCATTAAACAAGAAACAATCATATAGCAATAGTTTTGTTGCATCAGGTTTACACTTCTGACTATGGCATTTAACTTCTCTCCCTTCATCTGTGTTACACAATAAGAAAAAAAAAATAAAATAGAAAAACTCCAATCAATTTAGAGTTCAGAGTGGATAAGGGGAGGGGAGTATACCCGCCATGACCTCCCAGGTGATATTAATATAAACAGCTGTTTAGGCCTGGGACAAGAGAGATTAACTTTGACCGATAACGTTACTCCAGCGATCCTGTGGCCACTGTTCAGTGTCAAATGCCTGCCGGATCTCCAGGCAGATGGGCTGGTGTGTTGCAGTTCTGCTTTCAGGAACATCCAACAAGGTGACTAGTGCTCAACAATGACACGGTGCTTAACACGGTCTCCATATTTTACGACTACTGTCAACAATGTCACCATGGGGTTATGTTTAACAACGCTATCCCAGTCAACTGCGTTAACCATGATACAACAATGTCGCCATACCTAACAATGTGCCACTGTTCAACAATGTAGCAGTGTCCTGAGTAGCCAAATGATTAATTTGTTAATGTGTAAGAAACCCTCGAGGTCACCAGTGATGACGTCAGCTGAATGACTTTACGGAGCCGGGTAACACTGGCCTGGCCTGGCCTGGCCCGGCTCGGTGTGGTTGACTTTTACCCCACATACTGAATACTGTGCTCACGCTGCCCGTGTTAACAGTGACATGGCATTTTGGAGCCGCGTCTCATTCACAACAGCCGCATTGGTGGTGGTCTACAGTGTAAAGTGTCGTACCGTTTAGGCCCCATTTCTCCCTCTGACGTTTCACCTGGTCCAGGGAAAGTCCTGTGCTTTCATTGACGCAGAAATAACTGTAAACTTCTTCCACACTCTTCGTGTGTGCGTTCTCCATGGCGGACAGGCGGCTTCCCACACAGCTTTACACAAAATAACGGCCGTATGGTAAAACTGTCAACACTTTCAAAGAAATAAGGAGTTTTCCAACTGAGAGCTGTGCATTCACACTCGGATAGCTATCGAAAGCTATTGAACGCGGTCTGAACGTGTCCCCCTGGCCCCTGTTAGGATTTTTCTTCCCGCAAATTACGGAAATGTTGTGGTGAGCCAAATTCCTCTTCCCTGCGTGGATGAATATTACTCTGACCGTCCTCTTATCTCCGAAAATGATGGGGAAGCGTCTGCGGCAGTGTCCTACGTTGAGGACTGCATTCACCCGGTCCAGTCTTCAGTAAACGGTACTACCGTGGCGTGTCCTGCCTCACAGTGGCGCAGCTCTCTGTGACTCCACTCGGTGCTGACAGTCTGATTTTATCAAAGTGCCTCACTGCTGCCCCTCTCCCCTCTTCCCTGCGCCGCATGTGGACAAATATCATTGGACGAACGGTGTCAGTTACGTTCAAGTCAGGGAGACATTAAAAAAAAAAACACAGGAAGCAACCAGGAAACAGCAAGCAGGAATACATGCTCGTATACCCCGTGAAAACCACAACGCCAGGGTTAATTTACTTTGGTTTATTGCTTTTTGTGTTACCAGCCATGTCGGCCTCAGCACAGATGGCTGCTGACACTGACATTATGACTGTAAATGTTTGTAATGGAAAATGTGTAGTGGTATCTATTGGTGTCTGCGCCCCTACCCTATGCTATGATCATTTTATTAAAAGCCACGGTCGTATGACGTAGTAGGGACGCCGGTTGGAGTCCTTTTCTTTTTTGTACTTTTGTAGTAATTTAATCTAACCACTCTGGGCTTCCATAGTAGGCTATCACATGTCCCATTTAGGGTCAGCGTTCAAGTTACAAGACAAGCAACTAGTGTCACTATTACCTGGTGGTTCTGATACCTCACTGGAAAAATACTCTTTTATAAGTAAAAGCACTGCAATGAAAATGTTTCTTAAGTAAAAGTATGTAAGTATAATCAGGAAAATGATTATAATAAAAATTATAAGTAAAAGTTGGCTACTCAATGCAGAATGAAAAATGTCCCATGTTATATTATATCATATATATACAGCCATATATATCATTAGATTATTATTACTCATGCATTAATGTAAAAGCAGGAATTTAATGTTGTAGTTGATTGAGGTTGAACTAGTTTGTATCAGACTGAAAATTGATTACTTTAATCATTTTGGAATAACTTGCTGATTATTTTCTCCATTAATCAATTGTAAAATTGTGAGAAATGTTGTCACAATTGCTCAGAGCCCACAGCGACACCTTCACAATGCTTGTTTTGTCAGTATTAAAATTACATTAAAATGGAAAAGTAGCATATCTTTACATTTGTGAAGCTAGAAGCTGGAACCATGAAATGTTTTTACATGAAAAATGACAATTATCAAAATAGTATATAACTAAATTTCTATCAATCAGCGAATGTCATATGTTTTGTGTGTAAAATCTTTATTTTTAAAGTAACTAAAGCTGTCAGATAAATGTAGTGAAATAAAAAGTAAATCATGAGATGTAGCACAGAAGAAGTAGAAAGTGGCATGAAAAGACAAAAGTTAAGAACAGTACAAATACACTACTGTTTTCTTAAGAACAGTACTTGCGTAAACATACTTAGTTCCGGCCCACCACTGCTATTACCATATAGAAACATATTTGACATGCTGGTGTTGAAAGCTACACAGTGTGTACACACCCAGGCAGTGTATGCTTGTATATATTCCCAGACTACTATAAGCCTAGTTCACACTACACGATTTTTATCCCGATTTGCCGGTATGTGAGCTCGGCAACCGTCAGGCTGTGATCAGGGGTAAATCAGTGATCGATCGGCGGTCACCAGTCGTTATGTGTGAACTACTCAACGACACATTTCTGACACATCGCCAATGTCTGTCAGATATCTAGCATGCCAAATATCTGGAGGAGTCGGTAGATTCCACATCCAGCCAATGAAAGCAGGCAGCTGGCAGAGCAGGCAGCTACTTTTTCACTGCAAAACACTTTTTACTCTTTACCCTCCAGCTCGCTCTGTAGCTCAGACAATCCCTGCTACCTGCATGTGCTAATCCATTCTTTCACCCATATTGTTTGTCTATATAATTGGTATCTTTATATAACAAACATCAGCCGTTTCCTGTGTGGGTTTTCCACTTTTCCCGATTCACATTTCACGTGTGTTTTCTTGGAGACCAGCGTCGCGTGACAGAGTCCTTGTCATCTCGTGTAGTGTTTGACCCCCTGTCACCGATCAGTCACGTAGTGTGAACACCACAACGACTTCAAGACTCCTGTCACAAGACGGCAAGTTGTGTTGTCTGAACAGCACGGCCATCAGCCGATGCTGAAAGTCGTGTAGTCTGCACAAGCCTTTACACAATTCCCTCAGACTACATACAGGCATCTCATGACAAAGGCCTCGTGTCTTAGTGTATTACTTCTTCATTTACACTAGGGGCTGTGGCATGCTGAGCCCCCTATGCCCACCCAGTCCTACGCCCTTGCTCAAGAGAACATAAGACTGACAATACCAGAATAATCAACTACATAGGCTTAACAACTGTAAAGGCAGATCATTTCCTAAAGAGGTGTGAGGGCACTAGGTCAACCCCCTGGCCCCCTTGTGTAATTTGGGGGGTATCATTGTCAGATGTTTTAGAGGACTGGTGTACATCATCTGTTAACACATCTTAATAAGGCCCCAAGAAGCACAAGGTGCTGTAACAATAACAACATGACACCAGCCAGTTGGACATCAAGCTGACTTTTACAATGCACACTTGATCCGTTTGGCACAAGAGCCACTAACATCGGCTGTCAACAGCAGATTAAGTTTCTGTGAGGGCGGGATCCAGAAACATCCATGAAGACATTTGCTGGGAACAACATAAGGCACTCAAACCGTAGTCTATGTGGAAAGTCCTGTGAGCCACATAACTTGCTTTAAAAGTAATAAAACGTCAGCACAGGAACTAAAAACAGCATTGGTCTTGTTATATATAAAACAGGTCATAAAGACAACATAAGATTTCATACTACAGTTAAAGAAAGCAAACAGAATGCTCTAAATCAACATCAAATCAGTCACATAATTTGATGTAAATAAACTGGGCTCTCTGTATACTAGCATTAGTTGTACAACAGGTATTCTCTCATTCTGTTTAAACTGAAATAATTGAATACATCCTCATAATTAAGAATTTACGTGTGGTCAACTATCTGCCAGTAAGTTGCATTTTAGATGAATATTATCAATGAAACATGAGTCGAAATGAATATATAATACATTTAATAGAAATACATAGACAACCAAAATATCTAACTATGTATGCCTTAAATGTCAAAGGTTATCTGGAACTACGGCTCCATTATAGAAAAATTGTGTATGTTGTGATATGAAATAGAAACAAGCTGAATAATATGACTGTTTCATCTGCACTGTCCAAAGCAATGGAGGTCCCAGTGAACTCCAAAACTGGCAAGACACCCTGTCCAAGGTCAGGGTAGTTGTTGCCAAAAATAGTTGACCGCGGCCACATCCCAAGTGCACCACTTTGTATGCTGTTATCTTTGGACACTTGGATTGCAAGTGTAGTCTTAAAGATGTGGCGAAACTGAGTCTCCAGGGGCCGGTGAAAGTGAAAACATGTACCACCTTTTGATACATGTGATCTTTAAACTGTGGATGCTCAAAGGATCTCAAACCATGTCATCACCAAGAAGCTACTGGTCTGGTTCTTACACAAGATTAACCATCAAGTGAAACTCGATGATGGTGTGTAACAGACAAGATGAACCTCCATGACCAAACAAACCTTGTATGAACTTTGTACATGTTATTTAAATCTACAATAGTGCACAGTAACAGTTTCGTACAACAATTATATTGTAAAAGATGTAGACATGTTAGAGGAAGGCATAGAATATTAAGTTAAACTCTGTGTAGTGAATGTATTGTAGGTGATGTGCAGTGGACCCTGCCTAGACGTGTCACAGCACCAGCCTATCCTCTCCTCCCTCCTGGATGACCTGACCAATAGATGCCTGGCTCTGAGCTCTTATGAAGCACTGCTTCTTGCACTCCATCAGCTGCTCCAGGTCACGCCACATCTTCATCTGCTCCATGTTGGCGCTGTGGCTCTCCCTCACCATCTTCTGCTTCTCGCGTAACTTCTGGAGTCCACAAATTAAAAGAGTGATTAGCAAGAAAACATTTTTAAATGGCACTTGTCTGTTCAATAAGTCAGGTTACTTTATTAAAAAAGGCCAAAATTACAAACACGTTCGCAAAAAAATATTCACTACAATCTACATTACTGGAGTTCTGTAAGTTTCCTTATCCACCCTGCCTGTCATCAGACCGTGTTCTTGAGAGACTACAGGAAGTATTGACACATGGCATCTGCTAGGTCAGTTCTCACCTTGCCAAGTAACTCCTGTTCTGAAATGTTCTTCATGTACACTTCCCTACAAAAGAAGCAGAAGGGTATAATTAAAATACAAACCATGTTGTGAATCAATCACGGTGTTTAAATAAAGGTGTGGTGTATCAGCATATCTTGATAGAACAAGGTGTGGTCATGAGTCTCTTGACAACTGCTGCTGCACGAAAGAATAAAGTGACAGCAGCTAAACTGACTGTAATAAAAGCTTCCAGAGGTAAAAAGGGGTATTTCATTTTGTGAGCAGCTTGCTGGTCTGGCTCAGCATGCTCACCTGATGGCCTTCTTCCTCTCTTGCGGATCAGAGGACACGTAAGCCTTCATCTCCTCTGCCGCCCGCTGTATTTGCATCTCAATGATCTGTTGAGGACAGAGAGGGAGAGATCGAGTTTACTGTCACAGTGGGCGTTTGAGGCCAGGTCACATGCAAAATGCTGCAACATTTAGCCACTCCTGCAGCGCCCCTGTGGGTAGCAAGTCACTGTTCAGAGTGTCATTGAAAAACAGTAAAACAGTGATAACAATGCTTGATACCCTCACTGTGGCTAATGGCTATAATGTTTTTTTTCTGTTTTAAGCAACCGTCTTACCTCTGACATGGAGTTGATGTAATGATATCGGTTTTCCTCCTGCGCCGTCTCCTCTCTCAGTGCTTTCACCTCCTGTGAATGAAAAACAAGATCAAAGACGAATACACTGGATAAAAATACATACATACATTTAAACTGTTGACTATATTCTCTCTAGTAATAACTATACCTGCTCCAATTTAGACCTGTTGCTCTCCAAACCAGCAGTACAACTTTCATACTGCGCCTTCTTAT